TTTTTAATGGGAAAACAATATGTATAGTAAAAATCTGAAAAAATTCTCATAACTCCCCTAAAAGTTTGAAAATAATTTTTTTAAATTATTTTTATAAAAAATTTTATTTTATTTAATAAATTAAATATTTAAATTAATGCTTCAATTATTAATATTCAAAAAAATTTTTAATAGTTTATCTATTATTTTATTTTTTGGTAATTTTATTGTTTTAATTTTATTTTTAAATAATTACAAAAATTTTAATCCAAGTTTTTTCATTCTCCCTCAAAAATGTTGAAAGTAAAAATAATAATGGAATATTTGCCAATTTAATTATTCAAACAAGTTTTTTCTCGAATATTCGGAAACACAATTTGCCCATAAATAAAATTAACAAAATTTTTGCGGATGAAGAATTATGGGAAAATTTTGAAGTTGCTGAGGCTAAATATGATGAATCAAAAAAGTTTACTTCGATTCAGTTATCTCATTTTTCAATTCAAGAACTTGCTAAAAAGATAATAGGTCTACAATTATTTAATTTTAATCTTTAGTAAGATATAAGCGCGAGTGATTTTGTTAAAGTGATTGTTGTTTTGTTAAAGATTACGGTAAAAGTCCTAAGCAAAATATGAAGCTTGAAGAGTTAATAAATAACATAAAGTCAAGTAAACTTCTTCTGGAAGGCTGTAGACGTAGAAAGGGATAGGGGACCAAGATAAGGCATAGGAGTTATAGTGCTATAAGTCCAATATCGGACCATCAGACAGTTCCTGCATTTAGAATAATAAAAAATTTTATTATACGTTGACATAATTCATTTTTCAAAAAATATTGAAACACAACCAAAAATCTTCAGGTTTTGGATATGGGTATTTTTGAAATAGAAACTCCAAATAAGTACTTATAATTTCTCTTAAAAAGTTAATCTGTAAAAAATTATTTTTTATTAATCCAGGCCCTGATTTTCTGAGTTATGTTGCCGCCAAAAACATGTTAATAGCATTCAACGATCTATCAAACAAACTTTTATCTATTCCAAATTCTGAAGGAAATAAAAAAGAATTGTTTAAACAAAACAATTTTGATAATTGGAATGTATTTAAAGAATTGTTTAAAACAGAATTTGAAAGTTTAATACCTTCAATTTCAAATGATTTTAACGAAAATGATGCTGAATACTTGATAAAAAAATTCCATAATGTAATGTGGCGTCTTGATGAAAATATTAAAAAAATGGAAAAATTATTTAAAATGATTTTTAAAAATGGTTAGTTATTTTATAAATAAAAATTTGAAATTATATTTTAAACAGGCCATATTAGACTGGTTAAACCTAACCTAACCCATATCAGTTCCTAACCTAACCCATAGCCATTGAAGTATGGACACCGAATACCCTGGACCCCGAATACTCCCTAATAACCCTGGACCTGAATACACCCTTCCCTTACTAAGGAACCATTTTGGACGTTCTCCATTTTGGGATTGATCTTATCTCTAGATAAGTCCCTTTGCTATCAAACTTTTATAAAATAAAACATACTACAACACTAGGTTTGATTTGATCAGAAAATCAGATCAACCCGCCTCAATTCTCCTTAAATATTTTTGTTTAGGATAAACTCTTAACAAGAAATTTTGATAAAATAAATATTAAAAAATTTTATTTTTCAGCTTATAAAGATTTACAGAATATTTCTCTTTTAATCTTTATTCATTATTTGTATTATATTGCATTGACAGAAATTAAAATTGAAATGGCAACTTCCCACAATTTTAAATTTTATAGTCAATACAAGTGGTTAATGGCCACGTTGGCTACAATTGGAAGTTCTATTCGCGATGAACTTAAAAGAGAAGGAAATTTTGGAATAATTAGTTTAATTCCAAATCCCATTCTTAAACCGATTTTTAAGATGGATAATCGTCCAGTTCCTCCTACGCCTGCTCAATCACCTAATAGTTCTGTTTAAAAGATTATTTTAAAGAAGGATATTTAAAAATGATGTTTCAAGGAAGCTAAATGAGAGAAAAATAATGAGAAATTATTTATAAAATAGATAAAACTTGGATTAAAAATTATTTTAAAATAAAGTTGTAGCATAAAATATTAAATTAGTTTAAATTTAGTTTAAAAATAAAGTTAAATCTTTCCTCTATATTAAATGATAATCAACCCCTGTGACTATAATTGCTAGATCGAGATATCCTAATTAAAAAAGACGGGTATATCCTAATTGCCATATCCAGATATCTAAATCGCCATATCCGGAACTTTTCAGCTCGGATATCCTGTTTTCTATATCCGAATCCTGATATTAAAGGATTTCTGTTGATCCGCTAACCTTACCTCTCATTAAAGGTCCTAATATATCAAGGGATTTTTATTGATCAGCTAACCCTACCTCTTCAAAAAAGTGTCTTACATTTTACAATGGTTTCTTAAATCTATTCTATTCAAATCCAAATTTAGAAAAAAGCTTTTTTCCTATAACTTTAAAAATTCCAAACTTTTTGAATGACTATTTACTAATTTAAAAATATATTTAAAATGTCATAAAAAATATATTTTAATAATTTAGCGTTATTTAAACTTTATAAATAATAAAATGTGGGTGTTTAATAATATTAATCATATAGAAATATTTTAATTTTTAACTTAAAGTTTAAGTCTTAAGGGCTTTATATAAATTAGTAATTTAATATAATAAATATTTTATTTTTTAATTATAACTAATTTTTTTAACTTAAAAATTTATTTTCTATTTTTATAATTTATTATAATGCAAAAGGTATTTAATTATTATTATCAAAATAATTTTAGAACTAAATAAATTCCTCATATTCTATTATTAATAACCTGCCCCGGTTCCCGAATGGTCCAGAAAGTTGAAGACACCGAGTAACCCCGGGTACCTCAAAATCAACTTCCTATCACGTTTGGTGTATTAATGTCCTTTAAATCAGATCTAAAGGTTCTCGAATCAAGCTAGTTTAAAGGGAAACACGAACTTGAAGTTAGAATTTTATCTCAATATTCAGATTTTCTCAATACTCATCATCTTTGGATTGGTCACCTTGCTAACCGCTAATAACTACGAAAATGGATACAATAAACCAACTCCAGCTCCCCCATCCAATAATTACTATGGATATCAAGGTCCCCCATCTGGTAGAAAACTTCCGCCACCAAAAGAAATTGAATCGACTACCGAAGAGCCAACAGAAGCACCAACGGAAGAGCCTGGAAATGAAGGTGGTGAGAATATTGACGAGGGTGGGGAGGAAGAAGGGACAGGAGAAGCAGAAGGGACAGAAGAAGGAACAGGAGGGGGTACAGAAGAAGGAACAGGAGGGGATACAGAAGAAGGGACAGATGCAGGGACAGATGAAGGGACAGATCAAAGCCCAACGGAAGGTCCAGATGCAGGACCAGAAGAGGGCGGTGATGCGAAAGACGATGAAGATGATGTAGAGAATGACCCAGCCCCAGCCCTTGGATGTTGGAATTGCAAGGATGGATGGTCTTGCTGGAAAGGTACTTGCTATGAAAATTGTGCCGGACAATGGGGAGGTTGTGGTAAAGGATGGAAATGCTATCACAACTCTTGCTATAAAAAATGTGGAAATAAATGGGGAGGATGCAGCAGTGGATACGTTTGTTATAAAATAATTAATAATTATAGCCTGATATTTTAGAATTGCCGTGGTGATACTTGCCAGGATTGGTGAAAATTTATTTTAAGAAGGCTGAACTTAAGGAAATGGCATAATGATTAAAGAATATGTTTTTAATTTAAAAATATGAATAAATTTATTTTTAATAATTGGTAAAGTACAATAAATTAAAAGTGCAAATAATTAATAATGGAAAAAAATTTAAATTAATTTAATAAATGATGAGGTGTCATAATTAAAAAAAATTTTTGAAAAAAACAGAAAACGTGAATTAGAAATATGAGGCGGGAGGGTCCCAGTCTCTTTCGATCTCTATTCATGATTTATGTTTAAAAATCAAGGAGTGAGGAGGAGAATAAAGCGTAAGAGTGAGGAGTAGAATAATGAGGAAGAGTGAGGAGGAGAATAAAAGGAGAATGAGAGTCTTTTACTTGACTTGAGCAAAGAATTTTGTAAGGTGGGCTAGTGAACCTAGAAGGTTAGTGATAAGAAACCGTCCCGTATTTCCAAAGTCTAGACTTAAGTCCAGACCGCGCGCTTAGAAGACAAGTCCCGGCCCAGGATTTTTTTACAAATTTCGACACATTTCAAAATTTTTCCCCATAAAAGAAAATTAAAAAAAGCCGCAAGTGCATCCACGAGAATAATATTTGTTATTGCCTATTTTAGAAAGGGCAAGTCTGTGTTTACTCAGACATTATTTTTTATTTTGGCAATTTGTATTTGATAAAGCCGACAAGCACTTTATAATAAATATTTATTTTCTCTTGCACTTTTAAAAATTTTAAAGAAAAACAATTTAAATAAAATTTGTAAATAATATTAGACATTAATTTACTAATAAAAGCAAGAGAATCAAAAATCGTAAATCATAATAAAATTTATTAAAAATATAAAATCCTGAAAACGTTAAGTTTTTCGATTAATCACTTAGAATTTAATAAGGATTATTATTAGGTTACAGATTATACAGATTACAGACTATAATCAGATTATCTCCTTTTACATAATTTTTTTATCCTTACGCAGAAAAATTAATAAAGATCAAGGACTCATAATGGTCAAATTATCATCACTAGAGATCGGTCTGGATCTGAATTCAGTCTGGATTTTTCCTGGATCCAGAATCCAGATCCAGGCATTTTTTGATCGTCTTGGATTTTTTCTGGATCTGGATTTTTCGTGGATCCAGATCCAAAATCATTATAAGGGGCATTACCTTTATAAGGGGCCATTACCTTTTCACTCTTCAATAAGACTCTCATTATTGAAGAGTGAAAAAGACCCTATTATTCTTATACTGAGTTCCGAAAGAATATTTCAAAAAAATTTTAGAAATGAGGGCAATCTTATTTCTATTATTATTTTCTTTATTTCCAACAAAAAATGAGTCAACAATAAATAAAAATGGATATTCATCAAAAGTGATGTTAAAATACGAAATAAATTCATTTTTAAATTCATTCCAACAAAAATACAACTCGTTTTTGGAGGTTAAAGGCGAAAATAAAATAATTTGGGATAAAATAATAGACAAAAATTATTTTCTAAAAATGTGCCTGATTAGTGAAAATTTAAATTTGGAAGATAAAATAAAAGAAATTAAATCCGACATTTCTTTATTTCTTTCGAATGGGTATCATAAAAATATCCCTTATATTAACACTCCAATTAGATTGAAAATGGCAACGTTGGGATTGAATGAATTGGAATTATTTGGTCATATGATGGAATTTATGAGAAAATATTTGAATTTTGATGAGGGAAATAATTTGAGTGATGATGTGGAAGATTCCAATTTTTCGAGAAAAAAATGGGACTTGCCGGAGAAGTTTACTTCTTTAAAAATAAATTCTTTGGAAAATAAAAATAAAAAGGATTCGGATATTTCTGATGATGAGGAAGTTATTAAGGAAGTTGTTAGTGAAACTAAAATAGAAGGGAAACCTGTAGAGGAGGAAGAACATGGAATTTTGAATATTGAAGTTTCGGAAGCTCATCAAGCCTCATCATCAGGTTTTTATTCTTTATCAAAAATAAAAATAGAGCGGGGTATTGTTTAAGAAATGGAGTCACTTTTGCGGGTAACATCAAATAAAGCGCATATAAAAACGAATTTATGGACAACCGAAAAAATAGCAAAAAAATAGCACAGAAAATAGCGCGAGAGATCCAATGGGGCTTAATCATTATAGCTCTCCAATGTAGGGATTTTAAAACGCCCTACCGCCGAGCACCGCTTGATTGTTTGTATTTTTTGCTTTGTTTGTTAAGCTGACTGGCCTAGCAATGAATTTGCAATAATTTTAACGAAAAAAATATCCAAAATAAATATTCTCCAAATTTTTTTAAAATAATATTTTTAAATTACAAAGGAACGTCAAACAGAACTCATTCCCATCCAAGCTCAAAATCCAAGGGTAAAAGTATCGCTATATCCTCTCAATACCTAGTTGGCACGCTCTACCATCTTCGTCTCAAAATGAACGAATTCACAATGAAAACAAAAACAAATTTGTGGGCAAGTCAAAGCCCAGAATCATTTGAAACGTTTAAAATAAATATTGAAAAAGATTTGGAGGAAATAAAAATAATTAAGGAAAATACTTTAATTAATATTGAAAGGGAAGGGAAAATTGAAGGAATTATTAGAGAATTTATGAAGCTTAAAAAAATAAATTCTTTTAAAAAAATAATTGAATCTAAGGATGATCAAAATTATTTAATTAAAATTATTGATGCTATTGTTCCAGAAATAAATTCATGCAAGGATGATATTTTGGTATTAGAATTTGTATAATTTAAAATTATAATACAGTCTAATCAACATATAATGACTAATATTTATCTCTAAAATGATTCTAGATTTAATACACAGCTCGATATAATACCTTGATATAATCTCTGTATAAATAGTTATCGAACCGTGGCTAAATTTCGTCTGACTAAATCTCGGTTCTAACTAGATCACGTTTCTTCGAACGTGAATAGATCTCGGTTCTCGTAATAATATACCAGTCCAGTCAAGGAGATTAAGTTCTGACGTGACTCTGATGCTGGTAGAAACAATGCTAACTATAAGCAGATAAATCGCTAGCTGCAGATAAATTTGTAGCAACAATGTTAAAGATTAAAATTCGTAGCACTGTCTGCAGCTAAAGTCCAAAATTTTCGGTAGCCTTAGCTGCAGATACCTATCCTTTGTCTAAGAAGCTTAAATGTACATATTTTAAAAATATTTCAAGATCAAAAGTAAATTAAATAAATTTTATTTTCCAGAAATTCGAAAGTATACGTTACTATGAATTATTAAGCAAGACAATGATCGAAATAAATAATAATTTGTATAACGGGATAAATAGCAATACACCTTTTGATCGATTAAACGAAACTGATTTGGATAGTTATTTAAATAATATTTATATTTTTACCAAATTATTAGAAGAATATTTGGAAAAAGAGCTGAATAGGGCTAGATCAGTTATGGTAAAAATAGCAATTTATTTGAATAACCCACTCTTTGAAAATTTTAATGAAATCGTTTCTGTAATCAAAAAATTACCGGATATTCCAAAAAATTTATTTCCGGGCGAAAAAATAATTGGAGAATCGAGGGTTGAGGAAATTTATGAAGCTAGAACGGAGAACAAAATTAAAGAAAATATAATCGAAAATGCTATAAATATACTTTATGTCTACTGGCAAATTAATAAAAATAATTTTTTGGCTGAAAATGTGAAGCAATTTGCGATAAAGAATTTTAGAAATGAGGTAGCTTTGGTTTACTGTAGATATATAGATTAGATTATACATCAGGGATGGTCTCATGGATATTTTTAAGAAGTGGAAACCGGAAGTAAATAAGCGGAGGCAAAAAACCTCTTCCTCTCTTCGGGAAGCGGAAGAGGTCGTTGGAAGCTAGACACTTTTTAAAATTCCCCGTCCTCCTCGAAAATCTCCCGGAAGATCTATCCCAAAATTCAACCCAAAATCCTAGTTGAGTAGCAAAATCTTACCAGGAGTTCTAGATTAAAGAGAAAATTTATTTTTTTTAATTTAGCTGTTTGAGGAATGGATGAAGTCACAAGAACAGGAAGCTCGTGGAAAGATTGGGCATAATAAAATAATGAAACCAATTGAATTAATTTTATTTGAACGTTATAAACAAAAATTTGAAGAGACTCATCCCTCCACACATTTTTTCTATTCATCCTCCCCAAATACATCAAAATCCACAAATCAATCCTTAAATGAAATTCAAAGTTTGGACGATCCATCTATGCAAGATTCAGCTTCTACCGATTATTTATTAAATCATAATAAAAAGAAAAGGAGAAGTTTGAGTTTTGGGGGCCTATTTTGTGTTGGTTCTACTAGCAAAAATAATGAGGAATCGAGGGATATATCTAAGGTATACTGTAGTTAATTAAGGTTTTAGGAGGGATATACAGATAATACTGGATTAGGTAAGATCTTTTTTATATCATGAACTAGGTGTAGAAAAATTAAGAGTAATACGAAAGAGCCTCGCTATAATGTACACACCGGGGATCACGCCGACCCGATACACACTTCCCGAAAATCGTGAATTTGGCTTATTCCACGATATTCTCGTACACACTTATGGCATCCTCCCCGAGCATACCATGTGGAATCTTTTCCAAATAAGAGATTGGAAGTGATTGAGTTTTTTTAGTTCTCAATAAGGTTCATGTTGATATCACGGATTAGATAGGAAAAATAAAAACTAGCATCTGAGTAGGAGCTAATCCCATCTCCAAAGATTAAAAATTAATTTCAGAATTCCAAGAAACGCGGGAAAGGAAAGATATTAGCAAATAAATGTAAAAAGAATTTATTGAAATTTTGGAATGCCAGGAAAATTAATAATAAACGTGGGAGGAAATCTTATAAACAAATAATGAGTATTAATTTGAATGCTCCTCATAATACTCCGGAAAGTGGATCGCCTGTAACGAATGAAAATAATGATTCTTCTGATAGTGATGAAAATATTCGTTTAATCACTCGATAGAGATTTTTCTGAGATAATTTTATGTCGTTAGATACTATTAACTCTCATTGTAAGTGCACAGCAAGGAACTTACGTTCCAGAATTGACTCTCTTCTAGGGAAGTGTCTTTATGTTAAAATCCGATTCAGGTTTAAATTATGAGCCAGTGACAGTTATGAGGTTAATAATTTATGAGTACAACGGTGGGTGTATCTCTGGGGGAAGTATCTCTACGGGGAGTATCTCTAAGGAAACATGGGAGTATTTCGAAGGAAAATTTAGTTCACAGGCAAGAAATCGGCCTTGTCTAATTCAAGAGTGGACTGAAAAATCTCTCTCTCTCTGCAATGATTTATCGATATAACGATCTTGAATCTTGAAATCCTCAAGCCCGTCTCTCTCGTCCTTCGATTCATAAGCCTTCTTTGGGTTCATAAACCATTGTTTGTACTGATAACGATTCATTTAGACTATAAGCTGGGCAAAAGCCTAAACCTGTCTATTGGAGATTAACACGTATCCCTGTGCTTTTAAATGAGAGCCGTCCACCTCTAATCTATCAAAAGTATCTTTTTTTCCGAAATTCGTTCTTTATTCTATATTTTTATTAAAATTATTTCGTCAAAACATTTTCGAATAATACTTTTTTCCATAAAATTTTCAATCATTTGTTTTTTAATCGTCCTGTGCTGCCACTTTTGGAGCGCTCCATGCATATGGGTCTTCTGGCTAAAAAATTTTTCATGATACTCCAAGATACTTCAAAAATTAGCTCACTTTAGGTGCACGATTTACTTTGTGGGCAGTAATCATCTGGTAGTCTCCAGCGTCCTTAGGTCCAGAAGGTATCGAGTCAATGTCACGTGCTACTGCACTACAAGAATTTTAAAAAATATTTCAACTAATCTTTATTTTTTACATATTTAAAGCTCCAGGCATAAATTCGGGTGTATACGAGTATGTTAGGGTCTTTCTGGCTCGTAATGGCTGGTAGCCGTGGTAGATACCGTCTTTCAATTCTTGATAGCGGTTGTCGCCTTCACCCTTGTCGACCATTTTGAATTATTTTCTAAATTTAGAAAATTAATTAAGATTAAAGAAATTTTTTTATTTTTATAATTAAGACTGAATAACAAAAAATCACTGAGTAGACAAGATTAATAGAATATATTAAATTTAAAAGAGGATTTTTTAAAGTTATTTAACCAATAACTCAAGTCCAAAGACTTCCTTGTTCTAAAAATTCTAACAGTTCAGCTCCTATTTTAAAACGTATTTTTAGAACGTATTTTTAGAAGTTTTACGATTCCATAAACATGGAGAAATAGATTCCCCTAAGTTAGGGTAGATACGGTAACTAATAATTTTAAAATTATATCCCAAATGTTTTGTGATCTACTATAAGTAATAGAAAATTTTTAAGACTTATTTGAGACGTCCTACACTCGATTTTAATGGATGGAAAATTTTCGGTTCTAAACGTCTCTGAAAATATTAAAACGGATAGCTCTCAATAATAAAGTTCCTAAGTCTGAATTTACAAGGGAGTTGATTGGGAAGGTTTTAAAATTTAAAATAATTTTAAAATTAAAAAAAATAAAAATCTATGTATGTATTCTTTAATTTTTAAAATAAAGTAAGCATTTTATATTAAAAATATTTTAACAAAAAATTTTCAAATAAACTAGATATTTGTTAAAACGTCTGACATTTTATTGTTCTTATTTATAAAGAACATATGCCATTTATTTTTCGCTTCCTTCCTTCAACCGTTTAACGTCAAATGGCTTAAAAATTAAAAATCCCCCAAAATCAATTCTCTTTCAGATTTTTTTAATATTTGTTGAGAGATGAGTAGAACATCGGTCTTTTTTTCTTCCGATTTTTTCTCTTCAAAGCTTGTGGATATATTTATTTTTATGTTTATGGCATATAACAGGTGTGATCCCAAAACCTTGTGGGCTAAAAGTTTTTTGACTTGAATTCATGCGAACTTTAAAGTTTGGAATTGGCCAAAGTTTTTTTTGTGAAAATGGATTTAAAAAATTTTTTAATGAATGAATAGGTCTGGTAAAAAATATTTTGGAAATGCATATTAAAACGGGATGGCAAAAAGCTCGTTATTGAAATGCATGTTTTCTTGCTAACTATCTCGACATCTCGAACAATACACATATCCTGCCTCAGTTGGACATAATTATAAAATGATTCAAAATTCGAGTTAGGTGAATGGCATATGAATAATTAATTATTGAATTAATATATTAATTATCAAATTAATACAGCTGCTTGATTTTTGTAAATTTTAAAGGAAATTGGTGGAGCTTGTTTTCTGGATATCAGTCTTCCTGAAATTATCTCAATAATTTTGTTAGATTCTTCGTTTATCCGTCCCGTTTCTCGTGCCTGGTAGAGTAAATGATTATCGAAACGGCCTCTCAGATGTACCACAATAATCTACGGAATAATCACAGAGGATCAGAGAAATGATCGTTCGTATTTTTTTCAAAAATATGTACATATATTAGGGTTCGAATATCAACTCGATCAGAATCTCTTCGCATTCTAAATAAATTTTATTTATTATTTAATTTATTTACACCGTTCAATGTTTTCCTTTAATTTTATTTATTAAAATATTTGTGTGGTTGGTCTTTCTAATAAAAGAAATATTAGGGGGAAATATAATTATTACCAAAAAGTTTTGAGTAAAAAACCGGTTCCAATTACCCTCCTAAAATGTAAAAATAACGCGCATTCCTTTAAAGAATTATTTTTATTTGTTTTTGTTTTATTTCCTGTGGGGGCGTCCAAATTCCTTTTATTTTATTAAAAAATATTTTTTTATTTTTTAATTATCTAAATCATAAAAATTAAAAATTGAAGTCAAACTGATTTATATTTCTAATTTTTTAATTATTTATTTTATAATTTATTTTAAATTTTTTATTAATTCAATTTATGTATAATTTTAAGTAAATCTATCTTCCTAAAATATTTTTATAGCTAATTAAAAATTTCTAATTCTTAAATTTTGAAAACCTGATTTCTGAATATGAGATAATCAGATGTCATGCCTAGGTTGAAGTCAGTTGGTCCAGGTTCGATGCCTAGAGGCACGTGGCGACTGCATTATTTTAAGCCCTGAGTAGTCATAATCAAGTGTTGTCCCTTTTTTATTACTTAATCATGATCATCTTAAAAAGTTAGGTATACTATCCGAATTGAAAATTATGGACAGAGATCCCTCTTTAGATATATCTTTTGATCAATTCGTTTCCACATTATTGAATTAAATTCAAATATGTAAATATTATTTACTGCTTAATTAGGATTGAAATTAATTAAGAATAAATTTAATAAATGCTAAAAGCAACACATAATTTGCTTGTTCCTAATTGGAAAGAAGACGTAGTTTACTTGATTATATTTCCAAGAACTCATTCAATTCCTTCCTCATCCCCTGCATCATTAAAATTAGAAACATGGCTTAGAATGAATAATATTAAATATCAGGCAAATAAATTTATTTTTTATTTATATATTGTGGTTAGAAACAAGAAAAATATTTATGAGATAGGTACAAATTTAAGTGATTCTTCTATGTAGATCTTTATCAAAATCCAAGGGCATTAGAAGAAAAGTTTATAAGACCTTTTCAAACTAATTAAAAATTTAGATAATGGATACCCTTCTTCCTTAAGATCAAAATATTTCGTTAAAACTTCAATCTGCATTGTATTTGGATAGGAACCTTTTTTAATTAGGTATTAGACCAACTCAAAGTCATAAAAATTAATTAGCTCAATTTTCTCCATCAGCTTAAATTGTTAAATTTTTGATTTCTCAAATTTAGTTTAAATTCATTTTAAGAATGTGAGTAACCAATTTAAACATGCTTCTGTGAAGGGCCAAGTCCCGTTTATCGAATTAAATGGCCGTCAACATGCTGACAGCAATTTTATCATTGAACATTTACGTTCACACTTTAAGTTGCCTATCGACGGAAATCTTAATAGTTCTGAACGTGCTAATCTACGAGCTTTTAGTTTGCTTATTGAAGAATCCTTCTTTAGGTAGAAAAATAATTTTTTAATTCCATAATTTTTTGGTTATTGTGATTTGAAGACCTATAGGATTACATTATAGTAGTCCCACAAGAACTCTAAAATTTTCGGAAATTTTTTGTGTTAAGTTCAATTAAAATCTACGTACTAGTGTGCTGCTCTAGCCAACTAAGGCCTCAATATTATTAACATTATTAGATTATTCAAAGATAATTCATAAAAATTTTTCAACAGTAATCTTCGAGTTATCTGTTAAAGCTTTACTAGAAAACCCCAAATACGTTACAGATTAAATTTGAATTTAAAAATATTTCCGAAATACTTTTCTATATACAAAGGATTCAAAAAATCATTATTTAATTAAAAAATATAACAATTTAAAACAGGTGCCTCCAGTATGATTTTAGCATTAACGCCTCATGGATTGGAACAGATTCAGGCTATTTACCTTATTTTACTGGCGCCAAAAAATTTATCGCAAAAAATTTAATACCCAAAAAATTTCAATATACGGTAAGTTAAAGAATTCCAAAAATAATTTTAAATTTAAATTAAAGACAAAGAAAACGCTTAATGCGCAAGGCTATGGGCGACATTCAGCTAATGAAATTGAGGATATCGCCAAAAAAGATTTGATGGCCCTATCAACATTTCTTGGGGAAAAGCCCTACTTTTTTGGAAACCAACCTTCAACGGTGTGTTGAAATTTTTTTGTTTTTTTTCAAATCTCTCGCTTATATTTTTGCTTTTTCCATACGTGCTAATGAGACAGACGATCGCTCAAAATCTCTCGTGATACCCACACAAACATCATTTAAATTATATATTTTTTTCGAGCTAAATAACCTTAAATTATGAGTCCTAAATGGATTTATGGTCTAAGAAGATATCAATAAATTTTTTGTTTAATATGTAGCAGTGTTGTCGCGGGTACAAAAAATCTTCGGGTACGGGTTTCGGGTTGGAAAATTTTCTTTTTGGGCATAGGGTTTCGGGCGGCAACCCTGATATGCAATAAAGCCTTTCAATTTTTTAATTCAATTTTATAAGCTTATTAAAGATTTTAATTTAGCTAGATGCCACAGCATTTGGATTTTTAGCAACTTCACTTTATGTGCCCCGGAATTTAAAAGAGATAAATCAATTTATAGAAAAAAGTACCCCAAATCTCATGGAATTTGTGAAACGGATGAAAGAACAGTTTTGGCCAGACTGGAGCGAAATTTGTGAACAATTGGCATTAAACACAGAGGATATAAAGAAATGAGAATATCGGGAAATATCCTGAATATACTTGAGAATATAAAATAAAAATATATTTAATTTTTAAATATCTATGAGTAATATTATGTACATAATTTTCAAATAAAAATACTAAATAAATTATATAAAAATATAAAATATAACCAAAAAAATTTACTAAAAAATAAAAAAAAATTTTTTTAACGTCATGTACCGCAGTTCCTCGATTACTTACCCTAGTTTACATATACCTGGGTAGATAATTACCCTAGTTTATACCTGGGTAGATAATTGCCCTAGTTTATACCTGGGTAGATAATTACCCTAGTTTATACCTGGGTAGATAATTGCCCTAGTTTATACCTAGTTTATACGCCGTTTACTAAAATTAGTAATTTATCTACAAGATTGACACACCTAGATATTTATCTAAATTAATAGACCGAAGGTAATTAATCGAGAGAATACAGTATCCTCAACTTCGCCCTTTTCTCGAATTCTTATTTTTTGTTTTTGAATATTTTTCTTTTTTATTTTTGGTAGCTTTACCTTTTTCCTGAAAATAAAAAATTATTTAATAATTTAAAATAAATCACCAAATCTTTCTGTTTTGGCAAAAATACAAAATTGCCGTTAAGGTAATTATCACAACTATTTGGAGGTATAAGCTTGTTATGATCCAGTGGGTTTTCTTTTCGCAAATTTTGGGTAGGTCCATAATATAATTGTGAATATTGTCTGTATAGTTGTTTATTTTCATTTTTTATTTGGAATTTATTAGCATCGTTAATTGTAGTTTTATCATAAATAAATGAGGATATTCTTTAAATTAAAAAAAATCTTTTTAATTTATTTTTTGATTTTGTAAAGGATAAGGTATTGAATCAAGCTTCAATACTTTGTTAACTAAACGTTAAACCTCCTACAAAAACCTCCACATTAGTTAAGCCACCTTCACCACTAAAAATCTTCGGATATCCTTGGAAATCTTCGGATTCGATATCGGGTGATCCGCCAACCTTATTCCCACTAAGTCCCGAGAAAATATTAATGGAAATCCCAGTTCATAGATAATCTGTTATTTTTTAGCTTTTATTAGCCATATTATTGAAATTTTTAAATAGAGAATATGCCAATTTTAAATATTAAAATTTAGAATTTGTTAACTAACTTTTGATCAATATCTGATTCACTCACAAAAAATGAATATACCATTACTGATTTTTTATTTAATGTTTTTGTATAATAATTAAGCATTTCAATGCTTTCCTTGGCAAAGTTTGCAACTTCATTTTCAGAATCATTAATTAGTTTAAAGCCAACAATCCAAGTAGTACATGGTCCATATAATCTGTTTTTAAATTTAGTTATTTCAGTCAACCCAAGCAATACTCATTGGGATAATGTTAATATTTCAATACTTGCGGAAATATAATTAGACAATCTATTGTGCTCTTGATCCAATATTAATAGAAATATTTAGCCATATTGACACAATAATTCTTAGATATTATTAGAACGACTGCTGGTCGTAAGACAATCCCCGCTAAGTAGGCCAAATCCGCCCACTTAAATAATGTTATTCTTAATTTTGCTCTCATTATTAATTTCGAGTAATTTCTTAGAATATTTATGGACATACCCTTCAATAAAACAATTTTTTTCTTTCCTTTGAAAACTACTTATCACATGATAATGCTCAATTTGAGACTTTATCTTGGCCAAATCCGCCCACTTAAATAACGTTCTTCTTAATTTTGCTTTTACAGAAATGCAATTATTATCTTTTTGTATTTCCGTCTCCAAACATGTAATTAAAATAAAATAATTGTAATATTTTTTATAATTAAAATTTTCAAAAAGTTTTAAATAATTATTGTGCCCTTCATTTTCAAGTAAATTGGAAGCTTAAAAATAAATTTCAACAAAAATATCTTTGAAAATTTTTGAAAAACCTCCTTTCATCATTTTTGTAATTAATTTTCTTGTATTCAAATTAACATTATATGCCGTATTTTGCTCGGGATATAAAGGAGAGATTACTGGCATCTGATCGCCTTCATGTCCATTATATTTGTCAATATCTGTAATCTCCCAGGGTCTTAAATCTATGTCTTCTTTTGAATTAAATTGTTGATTTGTGTTTAATGGTTCTACAAATACGGGCATTGGCCAATCCCTGTAATTATAAAGTCTAATACATATATTACAAAATTATTAAATAATTGTTTGACATATTTCAATTTAATTTTATATTAGCAGGTTCATTATTCTCAAAAAGTATCGGAATCCTTCTGATTAAATCAGATATACCGTATTTACTCGATTAATTTCCCTCCCTTAAATAATTCCCCTCCCTCGATTAATTCCCCATGCCGCGGATGGATTGAAAAAAATCCCCAGGGGAATTAATCGGGTAAATACGGTAGTTTAGTACTTGGGTTGTCCTGTGTCAGGATCAAGGCCTGAAATCGGTATCTGTATTTACTGATGGAATTCTGAAAAGTCGGAATTTTTCTGAAAGATAACAGTCTACATATAGCGATAAACACTAATTTTTAAGAAAACAAACCAATTTGCAAATGTTAAAAAGAATTTCTTAATTAAAAATAATAAATTTTCTGATGTATAAATTAAAATAATTTTTGAACACATAATAGTTAGTATAGTTCCACTTAAATATCCAAACATATTTGAATAAATTTCGTTTTCTTTAATTTTAAAAATTAGGAAAATTTTTAAAATTAAAAATCACTTTTAGCCCATAATTTAATAGTTCGAAGTAAATTTGTAAAAATTTGCCTTCTACCATCATCAATGAGAAAATATTTTAGTCTGTATGCAATTCGATATCCTTTAAATTTTATTAATAAATAAAGTATGTAGGATCAACGGAATTATAAGATACAATCATAAGGGATTGAAAAGAAAAATTAATTAAATCAGTTTAATTAAGGTGTATCGTTTAGGCAGCTCAACCACCCGCCGAATGATCAACCATATTCAAAAAACATAGGTATCTTAAATCGAGGTGTATCACTTATTGTGTGGATCTCATAGTAATCAGAAAGTTTCTAAGTGATTTTTGATAGTCTAAATTAATTCACCTGCCAAAATTATAACACTTTTGGTTAATACTTTTTTCTCATCTGCATTAACCATCTCTTCAATAATCAGATCAATTTTTCTCAAATTATCCAAAATTATTTTTCTACTTGTATAATTAGTTAAATCTCCATATGGTGTATTTATCTTAGGAGCATCAATTGCAAACATTATATCAATTTCTATATTTTTATATTGTATTTCAATTAGTGGTACTCTTCCATAAGGTATTGAGTTGACCTAATAATTTAATAAATTTATTTGTTTTAGTGAAGAATTTATATTTTTTTAAATGTCCAATAAATATTTGTAATACCCCTTCCTCGAAACACACGAATGTTTTTCAGGTTGGGGAATGGGTCATCATTTTTTGGGGTGGGGTTCAGATGAAAAATAATTGTGAGAAGTCTGTGTCCTTTCGTTTCATTCTTGCCATTACTAACAATAAACAAAATTTTTATTCAAAACCTTTAAATCCTCCATATCATTCTCAAGTTTCTTCATTGTTGAATTAAACGTATCCTCTCCATCGCCAAATATAAAATCATGTTCTTGGCAAAAACGCCCAGAATTTAAATTAGATTTGCATTCATTACATTCTTTGACAACATTTGGAATAAGACAACGATTTGGAAGTAAAAATATAATATCCAAATCGGAATCTGATGTTGCCGTTTCTAATAGGGATGAACCACCAACGATCATTGAATAATCCGCTTTAATATTTAATAATTTATTTGAAGATTTATTGGGTGGGTGATAAGTGATAATAATTATAGGGATAAAAAGATATGAATTGTGATAAGAATTATTTATGTACTATTATTTGGTTATTTTATTGATACAAGATTAAAATATGATTATCAGACTAGAGATATCCATCAACTCGTTTTTACCTCAAAACTTCATATCAGACTTTGAATGGACATGGATTTTGGTATCCGTGTCTGGATTTATACGGCGGATACAGAGAATATTCGCAAGCATTTTAGAATTATATGTATCCATATCCATTACCAAGTCTGCTATAGAATGAAAGTAATAAAATTAATAAAAATAATAAAATCGTATAGGTATATTAAATCGTATAATTCATATTTTTATAAAGTACCTTTATATTTAATACCAACAGAACTACATTGTTTATTCAGCCACATTTCTACTTGTTTTTCTATCCATTGAATAGCTTCTTTCCTTTTAGCTTTTACATCATCGTCCAAATAATAAATTTTATCCAAATATTTCCTCAACTAAATTTATGGATTTATTAAAAAAATATAATTTTTATGATGTAATAATTATTAAATATAAATCACCTTTCCATCATCCTTTCCATGATCCTTTCCATCATCAATTTTTATAATTTTTTTCTTCTCACCATTAATATTTTTATTTGCCCTTTCATCTCCTTCAAATTCAACATAAAACTGATTTAATATTTCATATAAATTAGAATTTTTCCATTTTTCATTCGAAACTTTGGTTATCAATTTATTTTCCGAATTAAATCTATCCATTTCACTTCTCAATGTATTATCTAAAAATTTTATTAAATTTCCAAATTTTAACAAATTCCAAAATTTACCCATAAATTGTTGATCAAGCATTATACGTGTTCTCTTCAATCTAATTTCAAATTCTCCTATAAATTTATTTATCAATTTATCCTGCTCATTAACCGATAGATCCTTTTCTGATGTATCAATTATAGGGTAAAGATTCGCAAAGAATTCAAATTTTATTTGCCCATTTTCCTCGAGACATTTATCACCAAAATATTTTTGAAAATATTCGCGATCAATTAACACTTGATCTTCTGTATTGATACAAGCATTTTTAGCGAACACAGTTGTTAAAAATGTTAAGCGAAGATGTGAAATTATATGGGGCATTTTTGAAAAGTTAATTATTGTTTTCCTTAAATATTATTGATTAAATAAATTTTGAAAAATTAATAAACATAAACTCCTAAACTATAATCTCCTTTTAAGCTTAAACTAAAGTATAGAAAGCTAAGTTTTTATAATTAAGAAAGTTGAATTTAGATTTAAGATGAGTTTAGATAAAAGATAAAGTTGGTAAACGTAAGGTTTATTATAGATGATAAGCTAAAAATAAGTTTATTTAAAGTTGGTAAGCTTAAAATTAAGTTCATTTAAGTTTGGTCAGTTTAAGTCAAGTTTATTTAATTGTTCGTAAACTTAAAGTTTATTTAAAGTTGGTATGCTTAAAGTTTATTTAAAGTTGGTAAGCATAGGTTTAGTTTAAATAAAGTTCGTAAACTTAAAGTTTATTTAAAGTTGGTAAACTTAAAGTTTATTCAAAGTTGGTAAGCTTAAAATTAAGTTGGTTTAAGGTTGGTAAGTTTAAGTCAAGTTTATTCAAAGTTCGTAAACTTAAAGTTTATTTAAAGTTGGTAAGCTTAAAATTATGTTCATTTAAGTTTGGTCAGTTTAAGTCAAGTTTATTTAATTGTTCGTAAACTTAAAGTTTATTTAAAGTTGGTATGCTTAAAATTAAGTTGGTTTAAGGTTGGTAAGTTTAAGTCAAGTTTATTTAAAGTTGGTAAACTTAAAGTTTATTTAAAGTTGGTAAGCATAGGTTTAGTTTAAATAAAGTTCGTAAACTTAAAGTTTATTTAAAGTTGGTAAACTTAAAGTTTATTTAAAGTTGGTAAGCTTAAAATTAAGTTGGATTAAGGTTGGTAAGTTTAAGTCAAGTTTATTCAAAGTTGGTAAATTTAAAGTTTATTCAAAGTTGGTAAGCTTAAAATTAAGTTCATTTAAGTTTGGTCAGTTTAAGTCAAGTTTATTTAAAGTTCGTAAACTTAAAGTTTATTTAAAGTTGGTGAGCTTAAAATTAAGTTCATTTAAGTTTGGTCAGTTTAAGTCAAGTTTATTTAAAGTTCGTAAACTTAAAGTTTATTTAAAGTTGGTAAGCTTAGGTTTAGTTCATATAAACTTCGGAAACTTAAAGTTTATTTAAAGTTGGTAAACTTAAAGTTTATTTAGAGTTGCTAACTTTAAAAATAAGTTTATTTAAGGTTGATAAGCTTAAATTAAGTTTATATAATGTTTGTAAGCTTAATATTAATTTTAAAAATAATTTTATTTTCGGGTCTAAATTGATAGTGTTACTAGTATATGGTTTTAGGTACCTGACCCTTCCCCGATGTGTACAAACCTTTTTGTCCATTCATTTGACAAATTTCCCCAATTTTTACTGTTATACAAAAAGCGATAAACTAATTTTAGAATATAATTTAATCTTTTTTCTTCCACATCTATACCGATTTCTTCATTTTTAGACATATTTAAAATTTTCTCTTTAAATTCTATCCATAGCTCATTGACAAATTTAAAATTTTTAATATTATCCCCGAAGAATATTTCAAGTTTCAGTCCTTCCTCAATAGTTTTTACTATTATGGCAATATTTAGGTAAATTAAAAAGTGTTTTTGAAAAATCAAAACTTCAATATGCTCATTTGTTTCAATTAAAAGCGAAAACATTTGTAGTAAATAATCTTCCGATATTTCTTTTTTATTTGTCATTTTAGCAAATAAGTCTTTAAAAATTAAAAAAAATTAATTTTTTAAATTTTGAAATTTATTTATTTACCCTCAAAATTAATAAAAGCTTTCATTTCATAATCCAAATGCTGCAGAAATGAAGGCGAATTTGACGGTATACTTACTGAGGTACCCACTTCTGAGGTACTAATATCTTGTAAAAATATAGAGCTATTATCATCTGTTGTAGTATTAGTATCTAATACTTCTTCAATTTCATTTGCATTATCTCGATAATTTAAAATTGAAGTGTCAGTTGAGGGACTTTCAAAGCTTTGACCATTTTTTGGAATTGAACTCGATTCACTTATTTCACTGATAGATTCAGAAACAGTCTGTAAATTATTATATTAAGATTATTTCATGACTAAATTAGAGATCGGACTGATACGAGATCTCTTTCAAAAATACTTGTTATCGAGATAGATATGTTTTGAGATCTCTATTCTCTTAAGTCAATCCCAGTTCTATCTCTAGTCTTAAGATAACTGATTATTAATTATTACTGATATTAGACTTATTGAAGAATATAATTTAACATTAACCACCTCAGTTAAATTATCACCCACATTGCAGGATAAATCTATCAAGCTTTGGGCAGAGCAATCCGTAATTGCCTCTAGATCCGATGCTTAATAATAAAAAAAATTTTTTATGAAATAAATTAATTTTGGGAATTTTTATTAATTATAATTTTACGTGTAGCTGAAAGTATGGTTTCACGAATTTTTAATATTTCAGGATTTATATCTTCATTATTCTCTTTTAGTAAATTTAATAATTTTGCTGTATGCATATGCCTCCTTCCTTTATTATTTTTTAATAAATTATTTTTTCTCAGATTTGTTTTAATTAAATCATTCCATCGCCCTCTATTAAAGAATGATCTTCCCTTATTTTTATTTAATAAAAATTTGTGCCATTCTTCAACGTTTTTAAATTCTTCGCTCCCTTTTTTATTATAAAGCGACATTAAAGCATCCAAGGATGCTTGTAGGAATGAGGGATATGCCGTTGCATCTAATTGAGAGGTAGAATACTCCTCCGGCTCCAAATAAATTTTCTATTAAATAAAATTTTTTTTGGAATATTTTATAAAAAATTTGAAAAAATTTCTTTAATAAAACGAACAAAAATTATATTCCAAATTATATCTTCCTCTTCTCCTTCAGAATTAATAATTATTAATAAAGCCTCCTCCCCATACCAATAATATTTATTTATTTCTTTCCAAGCTTCATCTAGGTATGAATTAATACAATAACTGTCTTCTTCCAAATTATTTTGGCCTTTAATAAAATTAAAAATAATTTTAACTATTATTTTATATTAATTTACCTTTATTATTAGGCCCACAAAGCCATTCCCTATATATTATATATTCAATAAGAAGCTTATTTCTCCATTTAGTTAGCATATCTTTAGTTTCAAAATACTCTATATAGAGTTTATATATTAATGGAAAATTTTCTTGACCTTCTTTTTCAATTATAACTGAAATTTGGGAGAGTAAATTAATATGCAATATAAAAGTTTATTTCTTTAATGTTCTTAGCTTTAAATAGAGTTGGTCGGGACCGGGATCCAGACGTAAAATCTGGACCGGGATTAGTAATAATGATCTCGATCCCGGTCCCGATCCAGACTGCGGTATCGGGATTGGTCGAAATCAGGATTTTGGAATAATGATTCCGACCGGGATCCCGATCCCGCCCAACTTTTGTTTTAAAGAAAATAATTTGGAAATCAATAATCCGTCCCATCTTTTCATTTCAAAACGTTTCATAATTTATTAAAAAACATACTCATATTTTGAAAAAATTCAGGGAATCCTTCATATAGGCTATACAAACGTACACTACCAAATACAATAAAAAGTGCGGCCTCTATATTTTTCAAGGCATTCTTATCGTCTTTATATTTTCTAAAAAAGTCTGAAAAACTTGGATTCTTTAACAATTTGATAAAAATCAGAAAATCAGATTCTTCACGAATCTTATTATCCATTTCATTAGCTATATTAGCCAATTCTTTAGCACCACACGAAACACTAAAAGGTGAGATATTTTCATAATCGACTCTATCATTATTCTTTTTTTCATTAATTAAAATATCTCTAATTTTAATGTTTCTACAAATTTCAAATAATGCACCAATGTTATAATTAATTATTAAACTTCCAAACATCGTAAGCTGAAATAAAAAATTTTTTCCATATTTGAGACTTTCAGGGAGAAGGAGAGAGTTTAGGGGAGAGTTTTGAGCTCTTGGGGACTTTTGTGGACGTTATCCCATGATTCTTGCAACAATTTTAGCAAACTAAAATAACCTTTTTCAAAATATTTGGGTCTTCTTGACGATTCATTTTAATATACATATTAATTAAATAATGTTGGGTAACCGCACTAATTTTCAAATATTTGTCATCAACAACACTCAGTTTATTTGTTAATAATAAATCCGAATAATGCCATTCTAGAATAATTTCTGCATAATCAAGTGGATTGTAAAAGAAGCGCCATTCATAGTATTTAAGATATAAAACTTTAAAAATAATGTAATTAGCGTATTTGAATTTTTTCTAAAACAATGATGGCAATCCAATAGTACCTCAAGTCACTTTAGTGCAGTGCTTCTTAAGCTCGATACATAGTATGCCTCCCGTCGGAACTGGCATGTGAGGCTATTACTTAAGTGCTTGGGAACACTGTTGCTTCCTTTGAACATCTCCCATGACATTATTCGCATATTTTCCGCACAAATCCGCAATCCGCACATATAATCCGCATACATAATCCTTACACTAGATTCATGGTCATTTAATGCTGTGATAATCTCCTAACACAGAAAATGTTTCTAGATCCCTTCCATTTTAATTAAAAACCCTTACCCTTTTTGGGATAAAAACTTGGTGTTGCTGCATTTGAAAATAATAAATTTAAAAATATAATAATGCCAAAAGGCAGTAGAATATTTGAAAATAACATTGAAATTTCAAATCTTTAAAGCTTAATTAAACAAAATTAAAGTTTTTATTTAACAAAGCATAATAAGACGTCGCCCTGGAGCTTATAGGTGCCCTAGAGCCTAATAGAGATAGGTTCCGACTTCCACCAAATCCGTTTTCCTGTCCTCCATTCTTTATCTTCTCGCAACCTCAATTTTCTAAACTACAAAAGTGCAAATCTCCGATGTGCTGTATTATCAAATTTTAAAATTATGGGAAAAAGGAACTTAAAATCCGAGTGATTAACAAATAATTGAGAAAATAATTTATTTCCCAGATTATTTCAATATTTCCTTATTTTCAAAATTACGTTTATAAAATTAAAAAGCGTGTGAATATTTTTAAAACTCAAAAAAGTAAAAGGGCATTAAGGCGGCAAAAATAAAATCAAAAATAAAAAACATTATTGTGAAATATTAAAATTTAATAAAGCTGAATTTTCTAGCTATTACTCCTTAGATAATGCAAACGATTAGGCGGCTGATCTTTCAGTTTACAAGGCCTGGCCGCCTCTGCATAGCTTCAGGCCTTACAAAAATTTATAGGGTTGAAATTTTTTGATATCAGGAATAAAAAATGTCCGGATATCGGTCTTATGCTTTTTGAAAATACCGTAAGTCTTATTATATGGCTTTTAATACTTAATGGTATTTGCGCTATCAGGAATTAGAAGCATTAGAGTCAAACGCAGTAGGCGGTAGGGATCGGAAATTTTGAAAAGCCTAGACCTTTTCCTGGACTCTGGGTTTGATTTCTTAACCTGGTCTGGATTCTGGGCCTGTAGTTCAGGAAAAACCCAGGCCCATGAAAAACTCAGGAAGGTCAAAAAATGCCTGGACCTGGACTCAGAATACAGAAAATCTCAGGCCTTGGTCCAGACCCAGGCCGATCTCTATTAGGCGAGTTATAGATTTGATTGCTCAAAAACTTCAAAATAGCTAATTTAATAATTAATTTTAGCTGCTATAAAAAATAATAAATAAAATATTTTCAAAGTCCCCCCACATCCCCATTCACCTCTAAATAAAAATAAATAAAAATAAAATTTAAATTCTCTCCCCCCCTCTCAATTTTGCTGTTTTCACGTGAATAATAGTCAATTAATTTGGCAATTGAATGTATATATGCCTGTGAAATACATTATATTCTCTCGCCTAGGATATTGCAAAATAATGAGTCGGGCGTATAATCGACTGTTTGTGTAAATGTTTTTGAAAGAATTTTTTAATTTTAATTTTATTAAAATTTTAATTTTATTAAAATTTTTATTAAAAATTAATTTGTTGGGTAAATCCTTTATTTATTTTTGTTCCTTTTTATGTTCAGAATCTTCAGGATTTAACAACAACTTTTCAGTAATTTCATTCCAATCAGGCCAATAACGTTTTTTAATTAATGAAACAAACGCTAACAGATTTGGGGCACTTTTTTCAATCAAAGGCATTATTGTTTCAGAAATTATAGGTGTGTCAGTAAATTGTGTTAATGTCCCAAAAAGTACGGCATCTAACTGAAAATAATTTTTAATTTTTAAAAAATTATATTTTTCCCTTAATTTCCAAAAACAAAAAATGTATTAAGCATGTTACCTTTTAAATTTATTAATTTAACTAACGTTTTATTAATTACAGGTATTCAAAAATGACTCTGTTTAATGAATAGTAAGTAACAGTACCAGTGTGTTACCAGACCCCACGAAAATTGAAAATTTAAATTGTATGTAGGCTAGACTACTTGTCGGTACCGACCATCTAAATGCCACTAAATAAAATTAAAATCAAAGGAAATTAAATTCACTATGATAAAGTGAGATAAATTTTAACGTTTCCTTCTTAGTTGTGTCTCGCTTCAAACTCAACAATATTTTCTTATTTTAATCCTAAGACCTTAAGAACCCCTAAATCGTATTTAAATTTCATAATTTTGTCTGATAAATCTATCAAAATTTGGAAATAAGTTTTGATAAAAATTAGCCTGGATTTGAGACTGCTAATAATAATTTTAAAAATATTAACTGTAGTAGGAGTACTTCCAAAAAAGAAAGGCTTATCTCCAAGTAGACTATGAAATTAAAAATATTTTTAAAATATTAAAAAAAATTTTCACGTTGAAAGAGCAATTAAATCTTTTTTGGCAATCTCTTCAATTTCAATTAATGAATGACGTCCATAACCTTGGGCATAAACGTTATTTTTTAACTAAAATTAATTTTCTCTTTTAAATTTATTTTTTAATTTACCGCTTTTTGAAGCTTTTTTGCTCCAAATTTCTGCGCAAGTAATTTTTGAAGACCTTTTGCATGGGGCAAGAGCCCTTTCTCTGTAAAGAGCCAACCAAAATCAGTGCTTCGAAAATATTGAAGACAACTGTATAGTTTAAATTTTATTAAGGATTTTGTTTTAAAAATTTATTAAAAATTTATTAAAAATTTTATTTTGACTATTTTCTTTATGTTGAAGTATTTCTGAATTTTTTTTACAAAAATTCACAAAAATCTGATTGTTAGAAATCCATATCTCATCCTATAAATAATATTTTTGGGCTGGGGTTTTCCTCATAATCAGTGCTTGTTATTGGATATTATATGGCCCAAGCTCTGTATGTTTTTAAATTCTTGAATCGGGCTTCAGCACCTAGAATGGTCCTGGAGCCATATCCGGCACTGGTAATAAAAGGGTAAAAAATATTTTAATTGAATCCCTCATTTAATTCAATTTTTTTTTACCGAAATAACGACTCCTCAATAAGTATTGTATAAGCTCTTAAATGTGCTCTTTCCATGCTGTTCAATTTCGAGTCAATTGAAAGTTTAAAATAATTTTTTAAATGTTCCATTATTTGGTTACTATCAGCAAATTGTCGTCCATTTAATTCAATGAAAGGAATTTGGCCTTTAGATGATCCTTTCGACATTTCATTGTTAATGTTCTGATTAATGTAAAAATTATTTGGAGGAGATACGGTAGATTGAATGAAATGCCCATAGAAAATAGTCCATTAAAACGTCTTTTATTTAATTAAAAATTACTTACTCTATAAGTAAGCCCATTCATTCTAATCCACGTCTCCAATTTAAGTGCAAAAGGTGATGGACTTGGAATAAGATGTGTACGGGGGACTTGGACAAGGTAAATCACATCTTGTTTCCAGTCTTTAACCAAAAGACCTTTTGTTGGTTTAAACGACATTCCTATTAAGTCAATTAAAAATACTTTAGTAGAAATAAATTGTTATAGAACCAAAAGTATAACAATAATAGACGGATTGATCTCGAAAAATCATGATTTCGATAACTGAGATTGAAAAATATTTTTTATAATACATATCAGGGAATGTGATGACATAAAAATTAATTCCCGATTTTCTAAAATAAGTATGGCATGATACTATTCCTTGATCACTTCAAAAAATTTTTCCTCGACAAAAATTTATATAGAATTTTTTGTAGATTTTCAAAAGCTGTGAAACTTTGGATATAGATTCTTTAGAGTGTTTCCTAATAGATCTCAAAATTTGAGAATTTTAGGTTAGGTATTCAGCGAGTTATAACTTTCTTAAATTCGAGGGGAACCTCAGGTTCAAAAACACCGAAAAATATTTTTCTAATAAAAATAACTAAAAAAATAAAATTGGACACAGAAAAAATTGGTTGAAAATTGAATAAAAAATATAAAGATACACTTTAAAAATAATTGAATAAATGGGGAGAATGAAAAGAATTTTTGTGTAAAATTGTTTAAACACATTGCGCACTCCTTTCCCTATTAAATTTCCTGTTTTTTAATGGGGATTACTCATAAAAATTTTTCACGATGGATAGGAAGATGATTGAGGTTAATCAACCGAAATTTGAAAAGAGGGAAAATATTTATTTATTTTTTATTTAATTAAAAAATAAAACAATTGTGTGGCTTGTGTAAGTGTAACTGGTATTACTCCAAAAAGAAGAAAATACTTTTAAATATGTATAATGACTACAATCTAGATCACAATTTTATTGCATTCTTTGACTAAAATTACGAAATTAATTCTGAATTAATAATATTAAAAAATGGGGGTTCGCCAAATTTTGTTACACCTTTACTGAAAATGTGGTTTGAGATTATTTTATTTTACTGCAATTTATTAATAAAGGATTAGAATGTTTACGTTATTTATAAGATTTGCAGATCCGAATATCCGGATCATGGATTTCCAGGAATTTTAGTTCGGATATTAGATTAGGATATCAAAAGCTTTCCCAGGATTTGCCAACCTATTTTACTCATACAATATGTAAATTTGAGGAGGAATGTGTGATATTTTCTTATATTTATAGTCTAGTTTTGCTGAAAACTTGAAGAAAACTTTTAATTTCTACACTATTACATTCTTATTAACCTAATTTAATTAGTGTCGAGAGATGACAAATTTAATAAATTAAAAAATATGAACAAAAAATTCCTATCACACCCAGAAAAATGTATATTGTAGTTTCTATTGTCTTAGTTACTTAGAAAAATAATTAAGTTTTTGAAATTTATTTTTGAAATTTATTTTTTCTATAAATAATAATTTATCTTAGGAAAAATAATCTTTCTTTAAATTAATTTTTGTTCCTTTTTATGTTCATTATCTTCAGGATTTAACAACAACTTTTCAATAATTTCATTCCAATCAGGCCAATAACGTTTTTTAATTAATGAAACAAATTCTAACAGATTTGGGGCACTTTTTTCGATAAAAGGCATCATTGCTTCTGAAGTGGGTGTATCTGTATACTGTACTAATAATCCAAACAGAATTGCGTCCAACTGAAGAAAAAATTTTTAAATTAATTTTTATTAATTATATTATTTAGCGTTAAACGCGTTTCCAGCAAGAAAACAGAATTCTGGATCCAGGAAAAATTCAGACTGGATCATCATTATACGATTTTTAAGCCCAATGGGGGTGCTTATATAAAGGTTAGATCATAATACGTTAAATAGGATGGCTCCCCGAGCCTTCGGCATCGAATGTATCGGAGATTGGGTTTTGCCGGCTTGGGCATTTCGGGGTTCAGGATCGAGGTTGACCTTTGGGTCAGGGTTCGGGGCCATACTTTAATAGTGCCATTCCTTAAATGACCTCATTATTTTTAGATAAAATATTTGAAAAGATATTAACTGTAGTAGGAGTACTTCCAAAAAGAAAAGGCTTATCTCCAAGTAAACTATAAAATTAAAAATTTTTTTAATTGGAAAAAAATTTTCCTCCTCACGTCGAAAGGGCAAGTAAATCTTTTTTGGCAATCTCATCAACTTCGTGTTTTGAATGGCGTCCATAACCTTGGACATAAACAATATTTTTTAACTAAAATTAATTTCGTTTTTTAAATTTATTTTTAATCTACCGTATTTTTAAGCTTTGCAGGTCCAAATTTTCCTATTAAAAATTTTTTAAGGCCTTTTACATGGGACAAAAATCCCTCTTCTGTAAATAACCAGTCAATATCAAAACTTCGAAAGTATTGCCCACACCTTTAGATTTAAATAGAAAAATTATTTATTATCAGACTTGGTCAGGGACACGGATTTTGGATGCCAAAAGTCTGTTTTATCCGTGAGGTCGAAAATATATCCGTATAACATTTGAGCCATATCTTTCCGCGAGTATACATATATCCATCACATGTCCGTATTACCGTATCAAATAGGGTTTCACCGGATATCCGTATAACATTTGAGTCATATCCTCCGCGAGTAAACGTATATCCCTCACATATCTCTATTACCGTATCCAATAGGGTTTCACCGTAGTTCCGGTTCCGGAATCCGGAACTCAAATTGGACCCGGTTCCGGTTCTTGTCAGAATTTCGGTTCCGATGAAACCCTAGTATCCATCCGTATAGAAAGAATAAGGAGCAAAGGCTATGGGAAATTTCAGAGATTTGGTGGCTGAACAGCTTTGTATTATGGGACTAATCTTACCTAAGTCAGCTACTTCTTGAATTATTTATAATGTACTTTAAAATAACTTCAACAATCTTTTTAACTTTTATTACATGGATTATAACGAGATTCATGCTTTTTTAATTTTTATAAAGCCTTACCGAAATAACGACTCTTCAATTAGTATCGTATAAGCTCTTGAATGTGCCCTTTCCACGATGTTTAAATTTGAATCAATTGAAAGTTTGAAATAATTTTTTAAATATTCAATTATTTCCTTAGTATCTGCATATTGCTTTCCATTTAATTCGATAAAAGGGATTTGGCATTTAGCTGATCCTTTTGTTAGTTCATTGCTTACATTCTAATTTAATTCAAAAATTATTTTTAATTATGGTTTTATTACATTCTGTTCCAAAAAGTTTGCAAATTTTATCCGCAAGTCAAAAAATGAATTGCGGATAAAACTTGCGGACTTTTTGGAACATGACCGTAAAGAAGTATAAATCAAAAATTTAAAGAAAAATTACTTACTCTATAAGTAAGCCCATTCATTCTAATCCACGTCTCCAATTTAAGTGCAAAAGGTGATGGACTTGGAATAACATGAGTACGTGGGAACTGGACAAGGTAAATGACATCTCGCTTCCAGTCATTAACCAAAAGACCCTTGGTTGGTTTAAACGACATTTTTATTGAATAGAAAAATTTAATCTGTATTTTTTACAATAATTAAAATAATAAAAAAATAATGAGAAATACATTTCCTCAAATAATTTTAGGAAAAATGAGTGAGGAAGCTGGGTAGCCTTATGTTAGGTAGCCTTACTTGCTCAGCCTTATTCTTCTCTTTCATCAATATATAGAATAAAAATTCCTCTAGCAAGGTACTCTCTAATATCCTTTTTTAATCCACCTATCTTAATAAGTAGCTTGCTCAAATTTTTATAATTATTAGAAAATTTGTGGCTGCTACTCAAGGGAGATTTCGAGGAGGGAAGGAGAGAATAACTAAAAAATATTTTAACAAACATTATTTATATATATTTTTATTTTTAATTAGAATGACTAAACAAGTGTTTTAATATTTGCAAAAAGTGATCGCCGTCACAATTTTTATAGCCACCTTTATTGTAGTTTATAGTTAGGGAATTGGTGACAATTGGTGTAATTACCGAATTTTGCGGACACTTAATTTGAGGTTGCGGACACTGTAAAATTTTTTTCAGTGTTTCAACAATAAACTTTCTATAATTTATAATTCCAGTTTGAAAATAATTTAAAAAATTTTTGAGGAATTACCGACCACCTGCTAATAAAATAACAAGTAGAATTTGCGGACAAAAATTTGCGGATAAAAATTGCGGACTTTTATGAAAACAAAAGGAACAAAATTAGAATGGACACAATCTACTTAACTCTTATCAAACCTATTTTTACATTTTTAAAGGAAAAAGAAGATTTCTAAATTTAAATTTTAAAATTAAATGTTAATGATAAAAAATTGAATTAAATTTAGACGTCAGCAATTAGAAAGGAAAATGTATTTTGTATTGGTGTAGTCTCCTAGGGAACGAATTGGGCGTAGAAAAATTAATGGAGGAAATAATAAAATTGTACAAACTAGAAATTTAGCTAATTTATAGAAAAATGTTTTCAAAAATTATAGGATGTGCACGAAAAATTTTTTTCTTAATTTCTCCTTTGTAGTTAAATTAAAGAATAATACACAAATTTTCCGCATCTATTATTAAGACCATATCTCGCTTCAAACTTAATAAAAATCATAAATTCTATTTTATTTAAATCCCAGGATTTAAAAAAAATTTTTGAAACTAATTGTCAGAAATTTAGTTCAAAAATAACAAAGAAAAAGAGAATTATAAATATTTTCACGCCAAAATCTAAAATTTATCGAAAAAGTTTAGCTTGTAATACTCAAATGACAAAATTAAACGAAATTTTTAAAAAGTTGGAACCATGGGAAATCATGGATATATTTGAACAAGGATTGCCAATCCTTGATAGAATATACAATTAGTTTCATGTTTCTATAAAATTTTTGAAAATTTGGTTGAACCACCTAAAAACTTGTACTCAACTGACCGAAATTAATGGTCATTTAACTCGAGAATTTACAAAATTTAAGTACGTTCAAATTTTAATTTGGTCATGTTTAGCAGTTCCCCAAATTGGTCTTTACGTTGGAAATTAAATATCACGTTGGAAATTAATTTGTAGGTCAGTTGTAACGTTGGACCAGATATAGCATTACGTATAAAAAATGCTTTTCATCGCCAGCCAATGATTCATAAATTTATGAAAAAAGAACAAATTGGCTTTAACTATAAATTTATAAAATAATAAGTATAGACACTAAGCTTTTACTCTTTAATAACGAAAATTTACATAAATATTTATTAAAATAATTTTTTGTCTAAACTAAATTTGTGGATCAATATATGGTTTTATTATTTGTATTAGTTCATTTAATTATCAATTTGACTGAATTTGCCGAAAGTGAAAAATTTCATTCTGAGGGTAAATTAATGAAAGATAAGTACTGTAATGGAAAAACTAAAAATGCCCTTTATCTCGTTTTGTTTAAAGCCTAGTAAAATTTTAAAAATTTTCCTATGAAATTAATTTTGGACTCATTTTGTAGCCAAATTCGTCCTCTTTAAAATGGACTATAACTTCGATGTATATCTTTTTGAGATTTTATAATAATCATTATTATTCTAAGGTACGGTCTTTATATGTAGTTTTATTCACTATTTTGTATTTATGTCTATTAATAATAAAAATATTTTTTAAAGCAAAGTTGGACAGACTTAGCAGTCAGATTATGGAGGTGATTAAAATAGATTTAGGCCACAAAATAATTATAAAAATAATTTTTAGGAAAAATTGAATTGTAAACGTATTTTTAACAATGATATAGAATATATTAAAGATAAAGCAAAAAATAGATTAATTTATAAAGATGTAGATATACCTATGGATTGTGAAGATATTTATTCCCGTAATTATTTTTTGAAATTTCCGTTATCAGAGGCTGAACGTCAATTTCCTATTGCTTATGCTAAAATTGTTTATAAAGTTTTATGAGAAAATTTTAAATAAATTTAATTATAATTTAAAGGATTATCGCTTTTTGGAGGCTATGTAACTAGGTCACTAATATACCTAATTTCTTAGTAGTGTGGGTTAGGGACAAATCGGTAACCCTAATAGGGTTGGGGTTTTCGAATCGGGCCGGCGTTCAAGTTAAATTTTTCGGGCCTCATTTTTTCGGGCCGGCCCGATCGTGTCTTTTTCGCGTCAAAATTCAATGCCAGACTCGATCTCTTGGACCGGGCCGAATTGGGTCCCCAATACTAAACCCTAACAATAAGAGTTATTTTTTTAATAAGAGGTGTTTATAGCTTAGAAAGCTATAAGTATATAATTTTCCCCGATTTCCCATCTTATAAAAATAGAGAAGAAAATCTAATATCATTTTTAGGTTTAGTGATTCAGGAACTTCAAGATGTTATAGCGGAATTATACGTCATTATAACTGCATTTTTGGAATAGAAGACTTGGTTCTAATTATTTTCCAAAATTAAAATTTATTTAATTAAAGGTTCCAAATTTCTACAGCTCAAAATATTTATTTGTCAATAAATTGATGCCAGAATACGATTTTGGAGCCATTCTTTGTTGGCATGAAGAAATGAGGAGGAGGACTTTAATAAATAAAGGATTACACAGATTAAATGCCACATTATACCAAAATTGGCCACAAACTCGTTTCCATAAAGAATGGGTAAGAACTAATGGAAATGTTGATTTGGATAATTTTAGCTGTCATTCGCCCAAAATTTTATTTAATTCCTCCAAACTTCTATTTAATTTAAATTATTTAATAATTTATTTATTTATACTATTTTTCTATTTTATCACAACTAACTTTCCCCAGAATTTTTTATAATTTTTTGCATTTTTTGTGTAAAAATTTACTTAAATCCAAATAATGATTCATTGCTTACTGCACAGATTTTCCACTAAAAATATTAATAATTTGAAAATTATTTTCGAATAAAAATAATTTGAAAAATTTACTAATTAAATTATCAATTTATATGTAGTAATAGTCGTAAATATTTTAGTTTATTTAATTTAAATATGTATTTTATAAAATGTATCAATTTAGAATAATTCCAAAAAAATTTTTATTAAAAAGGGACTCTTTTCCGGAATATTGTATTTGAGAAAGAATATTAATAGTAAGAGTACCAAAATGTACCTGAATATTTACGGAATATTATAGAAAAGTTCCGGAATTTATAAGTTTCCGGTATTTTAGAAGATGAATTAAATATTTCCCGGAATTAATCAGGAAAATATAGACTAATATTTTATATTTTCCGGAATGTTACCGGAATTTTTGAATGCTTCTGGGATATTAAAATATTTACAGAATTTTATTTTTTCCGTTTCTTCCGGAATTTTTACATATTTGTTAGTTCAGTAAATTATTACGGAAAATTAAATATTTCGTGTTCAATAATGTTATATTTATTGACTATTATTTTTATTATTCTTTCAATTTTGAAATTTAATTATTCTGAAGAATTAATCAGAAAATATTATTGTCCTAAGGATGGTAAAAATTTATTAATAATTCAAAAAATAATTTAAAAAAAAAATAAAATTATAAATTAGAAAATGAAACGACAATCAGATATGACTGGCAAAAACATGAACAAATAAAAGTTATTCTTAATTAAGATTTTTAAAAATTATTTTTATCAAGTTTAGACATATTGTGATGTATTTTTGGATTGTAAACGTATTTTTAACAATGATATAGAATATATTAGAGATAAGGCAAAGAATAGATTGATTTATAAAGATGTAGATATACCTATGGATTGTGAAGATATTTATTCCCGTAATTATTTTTTGAAATTTCCGTTATCAGAGGCTGAACGTCAATTTCCTATTGCTTATGCTAAAATTGTTTATAAAGTTTTATGAGAAAATTTTAAATAAATTTAATTATAATTTAAAGGATTATCGCTTTTTGGAGGCAGAATTAGCTACTAATTATCACCCACAAAATTGGTATTGTTTTGCTGTTGATTCGAAGGCAGATGATATATTTTATAAAAGTATTCTGTCATTAGCTGGGTGCTTCCCAAATGTTATTGTTCCACAGGAAAGATTTTCTGTAGATAGTACTGGTTAGATAATTTCAAAAAAAATTTCTAAAAATTTTGTTTTCAAGGTCGCGGTATGGGAAAGGCCCATCTATCCTGTTTCAAAGAATTAGTTAATGAGGGAAGAAAATGGGAATATTTAGTAACATTACAGAATCACGACATTCAAATAAAAACTAACGAAGAAATGGTTCAAATATTTAAATGGCTTGATGGGGCTTGTGATGCCGAATTCGATGTAAACGGTTCAGGCCAACTCGCACGAATAGCTCATCTTTTAACAGTATCTGATTGGACTTTTGAATCACTACATGTTTTTAAAAACGGTTGATTTTTATGTGTTTTATAATTTTGCAAAAAATCTTCAAAATTTCTAGCAAACTTTCAAAAAATTCAATTATGGCTTAGATCATACTTTAGAAATTAATAAACGGTCAGATAATAAAGGGAAGGTAGTCTAATCTAGTTCTCAGCCTTCCTATGAGCTGATATTATTCTTGCCTATATGGCCCATATTAGAGTATATGGCCCATATCAGAACTCGAAAGAAATTCAAACTTGAAAAACTTAACGTCGCTCGGATCCAAAACGCAACCCTAGTTCTTATGGATAATTCCAATAAATTTTTTTTATTTTATATAATTTTATATAGAATCACTAAACAAACGCTTTGATTCTAATGGATCACCTCTCAAACTGAACCACACTAAAGGAATTGTTCAAGCTAGTCTGGCACGTCCTTTTGTTGATTTTATAGTTAATGAACTCAATTTAACCAGAATGCTTGATCACTTGGACAGTTGGTCGTAAAAATAATTTAATTATAGAAGTTAATATCTAAAAATAAATTTAAGTCCCTATGGGTGTGATGAGTTAGTTCTACAAACACTCTTGACTTCAGATGATTTACAAGCACCTAATGCATTTACGCATAAATGCATTGAGTATGGCAATAAAAAATTGTGGCCTCAGAATGATTATTATGTGACTAGGTAAAATTTGTTAAATAAATCTTTCCTCGATCTCTCATTAAACAATTGAGTTGGTAAAGTTCGTTCCACTCAGAGGTGTGTCGGAACAGTCCGAGGTGTCGGAAATCGGAACTGGCTCAAAAGTCGGAACTCGGAAATCAGATTTTTTTTACTATTGAACATCAGAGTTGGCGAATTTAATAAAACGTCTCATCGCAAAATAATTCCCAATCTTACATAATGTCATTTTTAGGCTTGCTAATTGGGGAATTTCGGAATGTTATAGCGGAATTTTGCGTCATTATGTCTGCATTTTCGGCATAGAAGACTTGGTTCATGATTCTTCTTATAAAAATTAAAATTAATTAAATTAAAGGTTCCAAATTTGAACAATTCAAAATATTTATTTGTCAATAAAATGATGCCAGAATTCGATTTTGGAGCCATTCTTTGTTGGCATGAAGAAATGAGGAGGAGGACTTTAATAAATAAAGGATTACACAGATTAAATGCTTCATTATACCAAAATTGGCCACAGACCCGATTCCATAAAGAATGGGTAAGAACTAATGGAAATGTTGATTTGGATAATTTTAATTGTACTAATTGATAATTAAAATAAAAAAAAACTTTTTAATTTTTTATTAAACTATCTATTGAATTCTATGTTATTTAGTTTAAATTATTATTATATATGCTTATTTTCGCATTAAATTACCTAAATAATTAAACTGAAATGCTTCTAATATTTTATTTAATTTAAATTTTATTTATTTTTTATGTAATTTATCGTTAAATATACGAACATTATGATTCATTACCAACCGTCCGGCGCCATTCTGTATTAAATATATATTTTAAAAAATAACATAAAAATGTTTTTAAAATGTGTACATTATCCAAATTACTATTTATAAATATAAATTTAAGTCCTACTTTAAATAATAATTGAGTAAAAAAATAAATGCATCGATAGATCATAAGTATTCTGGATATATTTATCTATGCAATAATTCCGGAAAATACTAATTCAATAAAGCTGTTTTCGCAAATATACTTTTCCGGAATGATTTATTTAGGTAAGAGTTCCAAAGTTGTAAAATGTTTCCGGAATGTTTTCTGGCTAGTATTTTTTAATCAAATGTTTCCTGTCATTTAGAATGTTTCCGGAATTGGAATTTGTATAGTATTTATTTCCGGATTATTAAAATATTTTCGGTATTCTATAACGTAAATTAAACGTTTCTGGGATCTTTCCGGAATATTATAATTATTTGAATGTTTCCGGAAAACTACTTAAATGCTTCTTGAATATTCCCGTAATATAAACTTCCGGAATGTTCCCATAATTTTATGTTTTAATGTGTTAGGGTTTTTGAAAACGTTTCCAGAATTTTAGAATGATTCCGGATTGCTACCGGAGTTTTTAAAGTTACATGTTTCCATAATTTCCGGAAAATTTTAATATTTTTGGTTCAGTAATGTTATATTTATTGCATATTATATTTATTATTCTTTCAATTTCGAAATTTAATTATTCTGAAGCATCTGATAAAAAATATTATTGTCCTAAGGATGGTATTAATTTATTAATAATTCAAAAATTAACTTAAAAAAATTAATTTTTAAATTAGAAAATGAAAAGACAATTAGATACGACTGGTATAAACATGAACAAATACAAGTTATTCTTAATTAAAATTTTTAAAAACTATTTTTATCAAGTTTAGACATATTGTGATGTATTTTTGGACTGTAAACGTATTTTTAACAATGATATGAATATATTAACGATAAGGCGAAAAACAGATTGATTTATAAAGATATAGCTATGGATTGTGAAGATATTTATTCCCGTAATTATTTTTTGAAATTTCCGTTATCAGAGGCTGAACTTCACTTTCCTATTGCTTATGCTAAAATTGTTTATAAAGTTTTCTGAGAAAATCTTAAGAAAATTTAATGATAATTTAAAGGACTATCGGTTTTTGGAGGCAGAATTAGCTACTAATTATCATCCACAAAATTGGTACTGTTTTGCTGTTGATGCAAAAGCAGATGATATTTTTTATAAAAATATTCTCTCGTTAACTGGGTGCTTCGAAAATGTTATTGTTCCGAAGGAAAGATATCCTGTGGATAGAGATGGTTAGAAATTCAAAAAAAAATTTCAAGGAATTAAAAAAAAATTTTTTTTCAAGGTCACGGTATGGGAAAGGCCCATCTATCCTGTTTCAAAGAATTAATTAAAAAGGAGAGAAAATGGGAATATCTAATAACTTTACAGAATCACGACATTCAAGTAAAAACTAACGAGGAAATGGTTCAAATATTTAAAGGGCTTGATGGGGCTTGTGATGCCTATTTATAAGTATCTGAATATATTTATTTATACAATGATTCCAGAAAATACTAATTTAATGAAGCTGTCCTTAAAAATATACCTAATCTTTCCGAAATGGTTTATTTAACTAAGAGAGCATGTTTCCAAAATTTTAACATCTTTCCGGAATATTTCTGATTATTATTTTTTAATCAAATAGTTTCCGGTCATTTAGAATGTTTCCGGAATTCTTGAAAATTGTATATTATTATTTCCGGATTATTAAAATATTTCCGGTATTCTATAACGTAAATTAATGTTTCCAGAATTTTAGAATGATTCCGGATTTTTTAAAGTTACATGTTTCCATAATTTCCGGAAAATTTTAATATTTTTGGTTCAGCAATGTTATATTTATTGTATATTATATTTATTATTTTTTCAATATCAAAATTTAATTATTCTGAAGCATCTGATAAAAAATATGATTGTCCTAAGGATGGTATTAATTATAATAATAATTCAAAAATTAACATGAAAAATAAATTTTAAAATTAGAAAAGGATAAGACAATTAGATACGACTGGCATAAACATGAACAAATACAAGTTATTCTTAATTAAGATTTTTAAAACTATTTTTATCAAGTTTAGACATATTGTGATGTATTTTTGGATTGTAAACGTATTTTTAACAATGATATAGAATATATTAGAGATAAGGCAAAGAATAGATTGATTTATAAAGATGTAGATATACCTATGGATTGTGAAGATATTTATTCCCGTAATTATTTTTTGAAATTTCCGTTATCAGAGGCTGAACGTCAATTTCCTATTGCTTATGCTAAAATTGTTTATAAAGTTTTATGAGAAAATTTTAAATAAATTTAATTATAATTTAAAGGATTATCGCTTTTTGGAGGCAGAATTAGCTACTAATTATCACCCACAAAATTGGTATTGTTTTGCTGTTGATTCGAAGGCAGATGATATTTTTTATAAAAGTATTCTGTCGTTAGCTAGGTGCTTCCCAAATGTTATTGTTCCACAGGAAAGATTTTCTGTAGATAGTTCTGGTTAGATAATTTCAAAAAAAAATTTCTAAAATTTTTTTTTCAAGGCCACGGCATGGGAAAGGCGCATCTATCCTGTTTCAAAGAATTAATTAAAAAAGAAAGAAAATGGGAATATTTGGTAACATTACAGAATCACGACATTCAAATAAAGACTAACGAGGAAATGGTTCAAATATTTAAATGGCTTGATGGGGCTTGTGATTTTGGATTAGCACCTCCCACAACTTACTCTCCCCCCATTTTATTCAAAAAATTATTAAAATGGTAAGAATTCGCCTCCTTCTAGTCTAAAAGGACGAGATCTTCGTTTTATTCTCAAGTATATCGGACTATAGTTTCTAAATCCAGAGCTACTACTTATCGGATAAAGTTTGTAACACATTTTAGGTTGATTATTTTTATATCTTAATTTAAAAACCTTAAGGATTATCGACTTTTGGAAGCAGAATTAGCTACTAATTACCATCCCCAAAATTGGTATTGTTTTGCTGTTGATGCAAAAGCAGATGATATTTTTTATAAAAATATTCTGTCGTTAGCTGGGTGCTTCACAAATTTGATTGTTCCAAAGGAAAGATATCCTGTAGATAGAGATGGTTAGAAAATTTTTCAAAAAATTTTAAGAACTTTTCAAAAAAATTTTTTCAAGGTCACGGTATGGGAAAGGCCCATCTATCCTGTTTCAAAGAATTAATTAAAAAGGAGAGAAAATGGGAATATTTAGTAACATTACAGAATCACGACATTCAAATAAAAACTAACGAGGAAATGGTTCAGATATATAAATGGCTTGATGGGGCTTGTGATGTTGAATTTAATGTAATTGGTAAAGCTCAAATTATACGAAAAGCTCATCTTCTAAATGTATCAGACTGGACTTTTGAATCACTACAAATTTTTAAAAACCGTTGGTTTTTGACTATTTTTATTCTTGATATTTTTGGGTCCTAGTTTGTCCA